AGTGAAGAGCTTAGAGCGTTGCCAGAGGTGATATATGGGTATTTTGCACATATTATGGATAATGTGTATATATCAATAATGTAATGAAGATAGCATTCAAACATCACTGTGGGGTGGTAGCCAAGCGAGAGACAGCTAAATTCTCATTTTTCAATATATTAGAAGCCGTCCTTTTCCTTGTTCGATCAGGAACAATTATTGGTCTTGTTACTTAAAAGAAAAAATGTCAGTTAATAGCAGGGGATTATTCAAACACAAGAGAGAGATGCAAACCTTATATTTTAACTTAAAACGTATATATATGTATACATGTATGTATAATGCACTCACACACAAATACGTAATTTACATGCTGAGTTTTTAATAAAAGACCAAGGACTTTTCTTTGACTGTGGCTCCATTTATTGCCAATAAACCACATCCATAGTGCATCATCTATGATTTCTAGTTTTTAATTTCTTTGAAAAAGAAAGAGAAGTTTCAGGACAATTGCTGAGCAACCAGAGTACAGGATCCTTCCAGTTTTTTATTATCTTATTTCTTTCTTTCATAGCTGTCTCTCCCACATTTAAAATTATAAAAAAAAAATTCATTGTGGTAAAATATACATGATGTAAAATTTACCTTTTAGCCATTTTTTAAGTACACAATTCAGTGGCATGAAGTACATACACAATGTTGTACAACCATCACCACAATCCATTTCCAGAACTTTTTCATCATCCTAAACAGAAATTCTGTACCCATGAAACAATACCTCCCCATTCCCCCTCCCCCCAGTCTCTGGTAATGTCTATTCTACTTTCTATCTCTATGAATTTGCCTATTCTAGGTACCTCACATAAGTGAAATCATACAGTGTTTGTCCTTTTGTGTCTGGCTTATTTCACTTAGCATAATGTTTTTAAGATTCACCCATGTTGTAATATGTGTTAGAATTCCATTCTTTTTTACAGCCGAGTAATACTCTGTTGTATGGGTACACTACATTTTGTTTATCCATGTATGTGTTGATGGACACTTGGGTTCTTTTCACCTTTCAGCTGTTGTGCATAGTGCTGCTCTGGACATTGGTGTGCAAGTATCTGTTTGAGTCCCTGCTTTCAATTCTTCTGGGTATATACCTAGGAGTGGAATTGCTAGATAATATGGGTAATTCTATGTTTACATTTTTGGGGAGCCACTAAACTGTTTTCCTAAAGAAAAGCTTTTTTAAAACAACTTTGTCTTTATGAAGACTTTGCAAGGCATTCAACCTGTGTTTTCACAGGAGCAACAGTTCGCTTTACTTTTGGTCCTGTATTTCATCAGTTTCTAATTAACTTGAATAATTACAATATCGAGTTCAACTACCATGAACAGGTTTAGAACCATATACAAGTGATACTTGCTAAGCGTATAACTCAACTGGCAAAACCAGAAGTGTTTGGAACACACTAGAAAGTAGCTTTCCAGCAATGAGCCCCAGCATACTGTGGGCATCTGCCAATATATATCACAGAACAAATGGAGAATACTGGTTAATCTGGCTAGTTAAATGGAGGCCAGTTAAGAGAGCTTCTCTTATTCAACTAAATTATCTTTGTCACAATAAGATATACAAAGGAATTTAGGAGTGACCTTGGCTCCAGAAAAAAAACAACAGCTGCATATCCACGACTATTAACATTCAATACACTTGTTGTGGGGAGATTGGAGAAAGGCAGACAGCAAAGGCTAGAATAGAACGGAAAGTTGACCAAACTGGTCATTTTTGTATAAACTCTTAAATTGAAGAAAGTACTAATTGATAATTGCAACAGGTTGATTTTCTTCCTTCACAGTTGAATTTAGCGTGGGTGATAAATGGGAGATAAACAGGGAACAGGGAGGTTGTGCCTATTCTTGGAAAGAAGATACCTTTCCAGTTAAGACTCAAGACTTTGAGATGTGATTAGAAGGTTTTCTAGCCAGTTCTGAAACGAAATCACCGAGCTGTGAGAGGAGTACCTTTACAGAGCATCATTCACCCTTGTTAGCGACCCAAGTGATTAAAGGTTTGGGAAATTGCCCCTCTAAATATGGGTTCAAGGAACTCGGTTTATTTAGCTTAGAGAGCGAGCGCGAGCATGCTGAGGGGACTTAATAACAGTCTCCAGGAATATGAGGGATGTTCTATGAGTGATGGAAGGCAGCTGTTTCCTGTTTCCACTGAGGACTGAATAAGAAAGAATGGAGTTAAATTGCAGCAAGTGGGTTTAAGAACTCCTTGGCCATACAGTTCGAGACGACAAACCCACAAGACCAAAGTCATGTCTCCGTTTCAGGATTATGTAGCTAACTAGCTGGCTTTCTTGACCTGTTCTTGAACTGGTAAAAAGATATAGAGAACCTTTCACTTGCGGGAGAATTTGAAGCGGTCCATTGTCAGAACCTGCCAGTGTTCCAGGACTGAGCAAGCACATAACTTCCAAGGAGATTTAAAAAAGAAAAAAGTTTCAGAATCTCTTTTCTCCCCTTTGGTCTGATTTTAAATAAGATAATCTAGATTACTCCTTCTCTATGAGGTGAAGAATTTCTGTAGATTTGCCAGTATGTGTTGTTTTCTGCCCATTTGGTCAATGTGGTCATGATTTTTTTTAAAAAAATTCTGTCTTCACTTAATGTATATATATATGGGGGGTGTGTGTGTGTGTGTACCATATACACACCATATATATATGGTGTCTTAGACATATACACATATATCTCATAGATAGATAACAGACATTTGGTATATGATATATATATCTTGCATGTAATTAGTTCAACAATGAAAGCAATGTTTTGTTCTAGATAGTATGTCTAAGTGTTAGGGATATAAAGATGAATAAGATATACACTGTGCTAATCTAGAGCAAAGCAAATATACAAAGCCTTATGAAATAGTGCATCATTATAGGAGGTCAACTAGGGGAAGAAATTTAAAGACAGAAAAATGAGTTCTGGGTATATTACTAGTTATTATATTGCTATTACTATAGTCAATGAGGCAGATGGAAATGCTGAAAACTTCTTCTCAACCATTGCTTTATCATTGTTATTCTATCTTAGGTTAATTATACCATTTATTCTGAATTGGCTAAGTGGTGTCTTATTTACCCAACTAGGGGTGTTTTCAAGGCAAAGTTTGATTTCCAGAGGACTGGCTGCTGCTAAGTTGTATCTTTAAAGTCATAGGTTTATGTCGGCATTAACTGTGCATACAGGCCACATGTTATATTTTCATCTTGCACCAACCTTTATTATAATCTTATTAAACATCTTTGCCTCTATCATTGAATGTTTTTTGTCATCTGGAAAGGGGGAAGGGTGAATCATGGTGCCACCCTGACTCCTACAACTCTGTTGGCCTTCAAAGCTGCAGCACTGAGGTGGGGAAATGACTTGGGACTGCTTTAAATCCTCTCCACGCTTGTTCACTGTGAGGCATTGGGGTGAGTTACTTAACCTCCCTGAGTTTCAGTTTCCTAATCGACCTCATAGAAGTGTTTTGGGGATTAAATTAGATGGAATAATGTGTGCCCAGCCCTCAAGTTGTGTTAGTTTGCTTCCTTTAATTCACAAAGAGCTTTTCTTGCCCGTGATGGAATCACGGTTACCTCCAGATTCTCTTCACTTAGTGGGGTTTGTTGGACTTTAAGGAGAAGTCTGTAGAGTAGGGTTTGTCTAAAATTCGTGAGGGCACCCGAGTCCAGTGGTATGAATCTTTTTCTTTTTCTACACTTAATTCAGAAAAAAGTCTATTCTAATGCCAAATATTCTAGGAAGCATTTGTGGCCAAATTACTTGAAACCAATCATATACGCACTTGGAAGGAAAGTCCATTTTTAAATCAGCAGGACGATTATGCATTTTTGATTTACAAGGTTTAAAGAGAGTAAGTAAATCTTCTAGATATACAGATAGTCATTTAATGGTCATTGATTACATCCAGTACTATGCTTTGAAATGATATCACATTGAAGACATGATCCCTGCCCTGGCGAAGCTTATGAACTTACTGGGGAGATCAAACTCATATATAGGAAATGACCACAGAACAATTAGACTCAGTGTCAGGAAAGGGCAGCATAAAGCGATAGGGCTTCAGCCCCTGAGTACTGAGGAAGGCAGGATATAGGGCTTGGGGAGGAATTCACTATAGTTCTGGGAGTCTTAAGATCATCATGGTGACTGGTTCACAGAACACTATCATTTAAAGACAGACAGAATTTTTTAAAAACCACTGAAATGCTCACTTCCTGTAGAAACTCAAGAACATAATGCAGTTGCTCTTTATGTATTTGAGGTGAATGCATGCTTCTAAAGTCTCATTGTTCAGGCTCATTTGCTTTCTGACTCTCACTACACCCTGTTGTACGAAGGTACAACATAGTGTGTCTCACTACGTCCCGATACATTCTTAGTCTGCAGGATACGGAATATCTTTATAAATCACAAAAAGTCACATTGGGAGTAAAAGTGCCAGCCAGAGACTTACCTCAAAAGCTGAGGCATGCCACCTATTTTAATGTCGGTGGATTTAGGAACCAAGGTGAGGACGTTCAGAGGGTGAGCAAGGGTCCTCTGAAGTGGACCCCTCCTCCGGCCCCTCCCCACATCCCAGCTCCCCAAACTAAATAAATAGGGAGGCTGAACAACAAAACCATTAACTTAATAGCATAGAATTTATGGCTGAAATCTTGCAAAGCTCATGTCAGCAAAGTAAAATAATTACTGTCACTTTCTTTTAGACACTTGGCTTTATGGTTCCTGTCACCTTTATCATAACACACAGCTGATTTAGTAGGTCTATTTTTCATGGCAAATGGCCTGGTGTTATGTTTTTATGCATGTGGCCATGCTGTTGAGATGACAATACATGGATATACTAGAGTGGAGCTAAATTTAGATATGAATTGGATACTGTTAATGGTTTTGGTTTAGTCATGCTGTCAGTATGCCAACTGAGTTTTTCCTCTTGCTCTTTTCTTCTCCAGATTCTCAAATCCAAAGATTTAACATCTCCAACCCAGCGTTACATCGACAGCAAAGTGGTGAAAACAAGAGCAGAAGGCGAATGGCTCTCCTTTGACGTCACTGACGCTGTTCATGAATGGCTCCACCATAAAGGTTACCAGCACCCTCTCTTTTCCTCCCTAGATGTTCAGTGACCCTAAAGTATGGCAAGTTGCTTGCAGATTTAAGGGTGTAGACACACGTACAAATGACCTCCTTGACTTAATGTTTTCCAGACAGGAACCTGGGATTTAAAATAAGTTTACACTGTCCTTGCTGCACCTTTGTACCGTCTAATAATTACATCATCCCCAACAAAAGCGAAGAACTAGAAGCAAGATTCGCAGGTAACTGAAACTTGGTCCTATGAGGTGGGGGAGGGAAGGGCCTGTGTTGATAATCTCATGGGAGATGAAGTCAGCTTGCATGTGAAAATGGGATTGTTTGGTGAGGCCTGGGGGGTTTCATTTGTTTGGGTAACGATATGGTTGGAGAAAGATAGATGAAGGCAGAAAGGATTAAAGAAAGGAATTGGTTCCCAGTTTACACTGCTTCATGCCCAGTGATGATTCGGTCAATACTAACTGACTGACTTATCAACCCTCTAAACTATTAAATAGTCAGTTAAGCCCTTTTTTCTTCATTTAAGCAAACCAACTTTCTATCCATGCTAATATTGTAGAAGAAGAAGATAGCATGCATTCAAGGAAATCCATTGATAATGCCCCAAACCCGACGTCAGGAACCCACAACTGTATTTCACAGAAGAAAGGAGTCCTCTCACACTACGGCTTTTTCAACCTTACATGTATCAGAACACCCCACCTTTTGCAGCTCGTGCCTGATATTTCAAGTGGCTTCCTTGTCAGACTTTTATAACAGTTTATAAACACAAAACAAGTGATCTCATATTTTTGCTCACCTTATGGTGAATTAGCCAAAAGTCAAGGAGAATGAGGCGATGCCAAAGGTTTGAGTCACTTCATGTATTAGATATCAAGTCATTGATGATGAGAAGTGAGAGGGAGTCAGTACACGTGCTGGGGCAGCAGCATCAGCGCCACACCACCAGGCCTGGGAACTAATGTCCCTTCCCTAATGAACACCACCCGGGACCTCCGTCCACTTGCAGAAGGCTACAGTGGCTCTTGCTCATGGAAAAATACTCCCAGAGGTCTAGAGATTTATTTCAGACTCTAGCATAGCCGTGATTCTCTAGAGTGCGGAGATTAAATGCTTAACTGGCAGTCTCTTGAGCATGTTTTGGGCAGCTCAAGTTTCTAAATCTCAGATGGAATCAGGAAAGTGTTGAGGATGCCATAAAATAAATGAAAAAGCTCTTTCTTCACAACGTCCCAAAATAGCATTAGGTAAAGGTGACTTCTGTTTCAGTTGAACCTCATTCACTGCAATTTGGTGTAAGTCTCAGTTCATGTCCATTAAGCAAGTCTTTTGAGTTTGGGAGTCCTAGGAAGAGAGGGAGCCACTGGGTGACAAGGCATTTTCTATTGCTGTGGGTTTGGTTGTTGAGGGGTTGAACACAGCCTAAACTGAACATTGACTAAAAGAAACTGCTGAGATCGCCCTTGGACTATAGGTCAAAGACTTCTTCTGTAGTGACTTTCGTAACTAGCAAGCCCTGTCTTGGACACTGAACTGTCCTCCTCCTCTGACAAGAGTCTCATTTAGAAGTGTTCATTGTCACGTGCAGCAGTCCTCTTGTGCCATATCTATATCCGCGGGGAATGACTATAGCCAGCTGCCGCTGCTGTTGTGGTCATCACTGCTATTTGTGACAATATGCAAAGAAAAAAAAATATGGCTGATTATATTTGATGAAAGTAAAGCTAAATGTTTATTACTCAAATGCATTTTTTCAAGGTATTGATGGCACCTCCACATATACCAGTGGTGATCAGAAAACTATAAAGTCCACTAGGAAAAAAAACAGTGGGAAGACCCCACATCTCCTGCTAATGTTGTTGCCCTCCTACAGACTTGAGTCACAACAGTCCAACCGGCGGAAGAAGCGTGCTCTGGACGCAGCCTATTGCTTTAGGTAAAGGAGATACAAATAAAACTAAGCAATTGTGTGTGTTACGTCTTGTGCTGCCTTTTCCCTCTCTTTCCGTACAAGTTAACTTGAACTCCATTCCTTGCTGCAGGCCAGGTATAGTACAGTATAGCCATCGTATCTGGTAACATCATTCTTCCCAGAGGCTTAAAACAGTTATTTCTGTGTTGTATTCATCAGCATTTTAGCAATGAACCAAGTGTGAAGGGATAAACTAGCCCCCTGAGTTTTTCCCCAAAATCCCTCTGAAGCACTCTGGGGCCGAAGAAGAAAATGAGCCCTCTGTTCCCCAGAGCAGATACATGTTTATTTCAAGTGCATGATGGTAGCTTCCTAATTGGGAAGACCCACCATCCGTATGGAGACTTCACCCTTGCTGCAGAGTGCCCATGGTCATACCTCTTTCACAGTAACAGAGATGAGAGAGACTGGAGAAGAATGCTGTTTGTCATGTCTTTAGCTGCAGAATGAGAGAAGTGAGGGCAACGCAAATTTATTTCCCATTCCCATGCGAGTTCATGGAGGCAGAGTGTGAATGTTCTTCTGTGGCTTCCTGTCAAGCCTGATAAGAGGAAGGCTGTTTCTTCATTTCAAGGGTTATGGGGCAGTGAGGGGTCCTCACTGATAAAGTGCCCAAAGTGTCCGAATTCATGAGTAAAGTGGCATGTTTTGGGTGCCGCAACCAGCAGTTGCACTAAGCGAGACTCCATGTTTCTTGATCTGTGGTTCATTCCTATATCAAGGAACGTGAAATGAAATGAAGAATTTGTTCTCGAAGGAAAATGCCCAGGTGGTTCTTTGAAAATAGCTACTGTACTTCATCCATTTTGTATTTGAAAGGGCAGTGGAGGCTGGATGGCGTAACTGCTTAGTGCTGGTTAGAAAGGGCTTGGTCTCCATCTGCTGCCTCTCCGCTTATATCTAGTCTTTCAAGGAAAAGGTTTGGTTTTTGAGGTCACAGATAAGGGGGTCAGGGTATAGAACCCATAAGGGAAGGTAGTCCAGCGAATCGCCATAACATCCCATCATGAAAGTCAACTGAGATCACAGTAAAACCATTAAAACCTGGCCTGTGACATTTGCTCATAGATATTTGTTGAATAAATGAATGAGTTGTTTTTCTGGTTTGGGATGAGGGGTGGGGGGAGATCAGCTTTACGATCTCCATTGTTCTTTCTTTTAACAGAAATGTGCAGGATAATTGCTGCCTACGTCCACTTTACATTGATTTCAAGAGGGATCTTGGGTGGAAATGGATACATGAACCTAAAGGGTACAATGCCAACTTCTGTGCTGGAGCATGCCCATATTTATGGAGTTCAGACACTCAGCACAGTAGGGTAAATATTTGGCTAACTTGTCTCTTCTATTCTTGGGTTGCTAATGTGTACCTGCTGATAGTATTTCTAAATGAATTCTAATTAACCTGGTTCCTTTCCATCATCACACATAAATGGGCGCTGGAGAAATCCTTTTGAATGATGAGGAAGAGTGTAGGATGTAGTGAACTCAGAAAGTAACACTGATCAGTTAGAACAGTAGGTCTTGCCTTCCCAATTAGATTATAAGCAACTCGAGGACAATTTTATTTAATTTTTCCTTTGTTTTATGTTCTTAACAGCTGTAAGCATAAATAGATAGCGAGAAAAGAAACTGTTTGGGATGAATCTATCACATAGTGTCAAGTACAGCTGTGAAGGGACTCACGTCCCCATCTAAAGAAAGGATCTGTCACCCGTATCAGGGACTGTCATATTAGAAAGAACATTAGGACTTGAGCAGATGCTTTGGCATAGAGATTCACTAGTGTATGACAGTTAGAAAGTTGGTGAACTCCTCTGACCCTCAATTTATTATCAGTAAAAAGGAATGTCTACATTAAAAAGAATATGTTTAGGGGCTGGCCCCGTGGCCGAGTGGTTAAATTCGCGCGCTCCTCTGCAGGCGGCCCAGTGTTTCGTTGGTTCGAATCCAGGGCGCGGACATGGCACCTCTCATCAAACCACGCTGAGGCAGCAGCCCACATGCCACAACTAGAAGGACCCACAACGAAGAACATACAACTATGTACAGGGGAGCTTTGGGGAGAAAAAGGAAAAAAAAATAAAATCTTTAAAAAAAAATGTTTAAAATAATAATGCCAAACTTGAGAGTTGATAGGAACAAAAAGATGATATATGTGAAAACGATTTGAAAATTGGCATCTCTAAGTCTTTTTGAATATAACCCAAAGTAAACAAGAATCTGCATATTTTGTCAAGTTACTTCAATGAGGATGGAAGGCTAATTCAGAAGACAGGTCCTAATTCAGAATCCATGGGTTCCCGGCCCAGATTTGCAAAGACGTTTTCTATGTAACAATGATATTTGTGCAAATACTTCTTCCTGGTGCCTCATCATGTACGATTTTAGAGATGAAAAGGACTTCATAAGTTATCTTGTCCAAACCTTTCACTTTTCTAAAGAAATTGGAGTCTAGATCATGTAGATGACTTGCCCAAGATCAAATGGTTGGTGACAAACCAAAACTTGGAACTCAGGCCTCCTTGTTTTAGAACCAGACCTCCGATTGCTCTGTCTGCCTGAGTTTAATTCCTGAAATGTGGCTACACATTGGGGTTGTGCCTCCGTAAATCACCTTATTAAAGAGGCATTCAAAAAATTGCCTTCACTGCAGGATAGGAAAATGAATCTGCTGCCAAGAAGATCACATAATGCGTTCAGCTGAATTCAAGAGTTTCAGGGTTATCAATTATTTTAGACAATCTGTATTATAAAGTTCCCTCTTTAATTCGTATGAAAAATCATGTGTTAGTGGAACATGAAGTCTATTTATTTATAAATGCCTACATATGCTAGACTTTAAGTTGACAGATATAGCTCCCCTTCCTTCAGCTGTTTTCCCAGCTCCCCTGTAGATTTTGGCACTCTGGGCTGACCATGTGCTTGGCCATGTGAGCGAAGCTTGCTCATGCCTGTCCCTTTGTCTGAGCTCTCTGGCCAGGCTGCCTCATCTGGGCTGTGGCAACAGTAGCTGTAATGTGGGCAAGGCCCAGTTGCCAAGTAGAAACATAATTCTCCTCCCTGATACACAGAGGGAGTGTGTGAAGGCTGAGCCCATGCTTGTTTTTCAAGGAGAGAGGAAGAATAACTGTCATGGTCACAAATATGTGGTTTGGACAGTTACCCAAGAAGCCAGAGGTAGCTTAATAAAGTAGTCAGTGTTGCTGCGCTGAACAGATCTTCTGTCTTAGGCTGAAAAAATTGCAGTGAATCTCGAGGAAAAGGTCACTTGCTGTTTGACTAATACATTAATGGCATCCTTGGAAATGTCTCTTTATCATCACTGGGGAACCTACATACTTCCATTGGGGAAAGTCACATACCCATTGATATAGAGTGGGGTGAAAGGAATGGGACTAGCTGTAGAACTTTCTCTTCATTTTGTTTTAGGGACAGCTATCCCCTCCTCCAGCTTAGCCACTACCATTTACCACATGGAAAGCTAAATGGAGTGACGATTATTATTATTATTTTTATTATTGTTTTAAGCAAAATGTAAGAAAGTGAATAGTTAAGAATATAGATTGCCTTTGATGTCATTCTTAGCGTGATTGTATTTATGAAGCAATGATAAGTGAAGAGACTTTTATCTTTTAAATGAAAATTTAGGTGGCATTAAATTAGACTGAAAAGACACTTAGCATAGAACGATTTCACCTTGCAGACAAATGTCTTTTTCTCTATCTAAGGGTAGATTAAAGCTCTGTTGGGAATTTTAATTAAAAAATTTGTGTTTCTATGTATGCATGTATTCGTTTCTTCACCTAGCACGTGAGTCTTATTTTGTCCAGAGGACACTTACCAGGGCTGTGAAGTAAAAACAAAGTCTGCAGAATCCCTGGTCTTAAGGGGACTCATCTAGGTGGGAATTGAAAATACGTGCTTACGAAACAGCTTAAGTTACAAAGAAGTGTAGAAAAAACACCTACTACTAAGAGGACCAAAATTTTTGAGGGCCTAATTAGTACGTGCAGCAAAGCAGCGATCAAAGTAAAGACATATTGGAAAATCTGGAAAATCTGTTGAGTGAGCAATTTTGTCCAGTTTCATTTGTTTACCATGTACAGGAAAAGGATTCTATGGGAAAATGGGGGATGCGGCGATTGCTAGGGACACATACCAATTTGACCATAAGTGGGAGTTAAGAAAAGGAAATTGCAAAGCAAAACTAATTTAAATTGCCTACTCTGTGCTCTGACTGATAAGGTGACAAGTTGGAATGGTTCGTTAAAAAACAATTGCCCTTTTTCTTGTTTTTTTAGTCTTTTCCTATGTTGTCTTTCCTCTTCTGTGTCCTTTTAGGTTCTCAGCTTATATAATACCATAAACCCAGAAGCATCTGCTTCTCCTTGCTGTGTGTCGCAGGATTTAGAACCGCTGACCATTCTCTACTACATAGGCAAAACACCCAAGATCGAACAGCTTTCTAATATGATCGTCAAGTCTTGCAAATGCAGCTAAGATTCTTGGAAAAGTGGCCAGATGATAATCACACGGTGTTGATGATGATAACGACGACGACAATGACAATGTTTGTAACAAGAAAACATAAGAGAGCCTTGCTTCATCAGTGTTAAAAAAAAAAAATTGAAAAAGCGGTACTAGTTCAAACACTTTGGAAGTTTGTGTTCCGTTTGTTAAAACTGGCATCTGAAACAAAAAAAGTTGAAGGCTTTATTCTACGTTTCACCTACTCTGTAAGTGAGAGAGACAAGAAGCAAAACCTTTTTTTTTTTTAAGAAAAAAAAATAAACACTGGAAGAATTTGTTAGTGTTAATTATGTGAAAGAAAAAAAAAACAAAACAGGAAAATCCCATTAAGTGGAGTTGCTGTACATACTGTTTCTATCCCGTGCCTCACCTGATTTTTCTGTATTGCTATGCAATAGGCGCCCTTTCCAGTCTTACTCCTAGAGTTAACAGTGAGTTATTTATTGTGTGTTACTATATAATGAACATTTCATTGCCCTTGGAAAATAAAACAGGTGTATAAAGTGGAGACCAAATGCTTTGCCAGAAACTCATGGATGGCTTAAGGAACTTGAACTCAAACGAGCCAGAAAAAAAAAGGTCATATTCACGGGATGCAAACCCAAGTGAGTTATTATATGACCAAGCAAGTCTGCATTGAGATAAAGACCCTAAAAACACATGCTTTGTACCAGCTGCCTAAGGAAGCTTCTTGTAAGGTTCAAAACTGAAAAGCCTGTTAATAAAGAAAACTTTCAGTCAGAATAAGTCTGTAAGATTTTTTTTTTCTTTTTAATTGTAAATGGTTCTTTGTCAGCTTAGTAAACCAGTGAAACGTGGAAATGTTTTGATATGTACTGGTCAGACTTCGGACCTTAAAGTATTGCTGTATCTCTCTGCTATCGGGTTCTCCTTCGTTCTGGTATACGTAACCATACCTATTTTATTACCATAGTTGGGTAGAGAAGCCGGTGTAATTGGAAACACATCTGGAGATCTCTTTTGCAAACTATTAAATCAAAACATTAACTACTTTATGTGTAATGTGTAAATTTTTACCGTATTTTTAATGTTCTGTAATAATGTCAACTCTGATTTAGATTGGACTTCAATTTGGGCTCTTTTTAACGATCACTCAGAATTGTGTGTTTCCTGTAGCTGGCCAGTACTTTTGAGTAAAGCCCCCGCATTTTGACTTGCACTACAGAGACATGTGTTATAGTATTTGCTCCACCTGTGCTTTGTGCCTACTTTATTATTAAGACATAAGCTACCTGAGTTCACTTGTCCTTTTGTTCCTTTTATAAAAAGGATAGATTTAAGTTCAGCAGTCTTCCTTCATCTTCGAAGCATCATTACTAATCAAATCAGACATTAAAAATCTTTGACTTTAGGAAAATTGAGGGGAATAGATACATAGATAATTGCGGTGAAATATTTTAGTTTTAGCGAGGGCTTAAGGATCCCTCCCTAAACTCAGAATCTTGGTGACTGAGTGAAGAAAGGTTTCTCTAACTTGGTTAATGAGTATTTTCCCAGAATTCTCTTGTTATTAAAAAGCAGACAATTCATAGGGATCATTTTTTTCCTTTAATCTAGTTTTTAGTGTTCAAGGGGAGATGGAAAGATTCACATTTCAGTTGATTTTTTTTTAAGGGAGACGAAAACCCCAGGTCAGCATAAGTCATTAGTTTATTTCACTGAGGTTAAGATTTTTATAGATGTTCTTGGAAGGTTGAAAAGGCACAAGCCAAATTCTCCCATCATCAAAACATTCTTCCATTCCTCTGAATGAGAGTTAAAATCTGCATCTGAGGCCACAATTTACCTTGTGTTAATGAATTATTCCCACACCATTGCAGAGAAGGTAACCTTATGTCAGGGTTTGTAGAATATGTCAGTTTGTCAGTTGTCTCTTATTTCATTTTAACATAAAAATGAATAGGTAAAAATGGAATATTTGCAGTTTCACCTAAAGAGCAGCACAGTGAGGTGTGGATCCAAAGTGAAATTGTTTGATATTGACACTTCTTTTTTGGAATTTCCAGACCCTTAATTAAAATGGCGGATTGGGTTTGCAAGTTTGAAAACTGGAAAAGCAAGCGATGGGATGCCACCATAGCGAACAACCCTTGTGTTGGATGTAACCCAATCCCAGATTTGAGTGCGTTGATTCTTTTCTCTTCCACTTTTCTATTAATTCTATGTAAATCACTTTTATTTCTGCAGGTATTTTTTCCTCTCAGATAGAATGACATTTTGTTTGTATTATTTTGTCTTTCCTCATGAATGCACTGATAATATTTTAAATGCTCTATTTTAAGATCTCTTGAATCTTTTTTTTTTTTTTTTAGTTTGGGGGTTCTATAAGGTCTTTATTTCCCATAAGTAAATATTGCCATGGGAGGGGAGGGGGAAGGGAGGGAGGTGGGGAGATGGTAGTATGCGGGTGGGGGTGGGGCAGCAGTTTTTATGTGTTAAGCAGCAGTACAATGTCATGGTTGGCAAGGTTTAAAAAAAATGGAATATAAGAATAGTTGTTTTGTATTTTGATGATTGATTACGCTGTATTTTAACACAATGTATGTCTGTTTTTGTGGTGCTCTAGTGGTAAATAAATTATTTCAATTATAAGTGGATGTGTTTTTTCCTATCATGGTGTCATCACTGAGGCCAGAGAACACCTCTGATGCAATGAGAATGTGATCAAGCTGGAAAAGTCACACCATCTTTAAGGTTGGACTTTTTTCTCAAGGGTATTCACTCCAGAAATGTCATGCTTTGTATCTCAGGAGCCAGGACATATCTATTGAGAAGAAAGCCCTGTTCAGTCTTTTTATTCTCTTGTCTATTGCTATTTGGTAATTGTTGGAAATTTAGTTTTCATTCAATTTGACTGTCTCCTAGAAAAAATGCAGAGAGATATTTGGACCATGCTTTGGCTTTCTGGTTCTATGTTCTGCCAACCCCAGGGCCAAAAGAACTGGTCTAGACAGTATCCCCTGTAGCCCCATAACTCGAATAGTTGCTGAGCCAGCCAGATATAACAAGAGCCACGTGCTCATTTGGGTTTGTCTTTGGGAGCAGCTACTCCTCTCTCCGTTTCACCAGTACCGCTGCACCAAAAAACCCCTATTTCTGCAAATTTCCTTGGCTGTTCCCTACAAGACCAGACTTAGCAAGTGAGTTGCCAGTCTCTTAATAAATAGAACTAATAAAAAAGTAGTTGTGGCTCAATCTGGTTGTCTTGCTTTATCTAATGAAAGAACTAGTTTGTGCTATTGTGTTGTCTAAATATCGCATATAAACCATCAATTTAAGTGTTTAGGTAGAATAGAAAATGGTTCCCTTTTTACAATCTGTTTCATCTTTTATACTCAACTCATAGATAGAGGAAATGTCTCACGTTAAAACAACTAGTTCATGCTTTTCTGCAAAGGGCTAGCATCAGACCTATCACCCCAGCCCACGTCCCCTTGATGTGATGAGTGAGAACAGGAGGGTATCATAGGGTAATGAAGAATCACCCAACAGCTGTATCAACTTTGTCAATTTGTCAGCCACACTGAACCTCTGTTTTTTATCTTTAAAAGGAGGATGAGACTACCACTGCTTCACAGGGTTTTGCATGTTTGTTTTTTTGCCCCTGCTGTTGTTAAGTGAATGGACATATGAAGAGTACTTTGCTTGGTGTTTGGTCTACAGCTGATGATCAGTAAATGGTAGTCTTAACAATATCTCCCAACCTGTTCAGTTTTTGGCTTCTTGGCAATGCTATTGTAATAAGCTTTTTTATATTCAGACTGTAACCTAGGCCCATACTTCATCCTGTTCCTGAATGGATAAATGCTCCAGACTCTAGTCTCATAAATAGATCAAGCCATCAGTTATTCCCGAGCATGTTCTGTAATTCTATTTGTTAAGCTTTTGGTTACATGACTGACCAGAAATTGTTTAAAATAGAGGAGAAATGTTCATGTTAAGCTTTGCCTAAGTCCACCAACTAAAATTCAAAATAAAAGAGAGAAAGTGGCCAGTTGATCCATTTGCTGAGATGATGGGAAGGAGGGCCACAGTTGGCTGAGCACCTGCCAGGTACTGGTCTCTGTTAACCTTTTTAACTTCACGTTTCACCCTGTGATGTGGGTGTTTTGTTATAGAACTCCATTTTAGAGGGAGGTGAGAAGACTCAGAATGGTTAAATTACTTGTCCAAGATCGTCTAATTCATAAGAGGGCAGTCTAGAATTTCATTATCCAATTCATTAGCTGCTAGCCATATGTGACTTTCAAGGAATCAAACTATGGCTAATTTGAATTAAGCTATGCCATAAGTGGAAAATACATATCAGATTCTGAAGACAGTACAAAAAAGAAAATAAGAATGTAAAATACTCATCAATTTTTTATATTGATTATGTGTCTAAATAATACTATATTGGATATATGTGGTTAAATAAAGTATATTATTAAAATTACTATCACCTGTTTCTTTTTCACTTTTTTAATACAATTACTAGAAAATTTAAGATTACATATGTGGCTCACATTCATACCTTGCATTCTATTTCTCTACCATTTCTTTTTGGTTCTTTCTCAGGACTTCCTTCTCTGCTTACATTGCCCATCTGTTCTTACATGCTGTATACTTCATCCATTAGAGCCTTTAGCATATGAATCATAGTAGTTTTAAACTCCTGGTCTGATAATTCCAGCATCCCTGCCATATCTGATTCTGATGCTTGCTCTGTCTCTTCAGATGTGTTTTTTGCCTTTTGGTATGCCTCGTAATTTTTTCTTGATAGCCGGACATGGTGTACTGGGTCAAAGGAACTGCTGTGATTAGGCCTTTAGTAATTGCTTCCCAAGGGGAAGCGATCTATAGTCTATGATTAGGTCTCAGTCTTTTAGTCAGCCTCTGACTCTGGACCATGAATTTCACAAGAGTTTCTCAGTATTTTTCTCCCCCCTTACATGGCACAGAATGGTTAGAATTGGCTGGAGTTGGCTATTTCCCTTCCCTGAGCCAGTTAGGCTCTGATAATAACCCTAGTAGGTTAGCCTCTGGCTAATTTTTTCCCCCCAGGGCAGACCTTGCTAATAAAGACAGAATGCAGTGGTGTATAGTAGTCCCCCCTTATCCGTGGGGGATATATTCCAAGCTCCCCAGTGGATGCCTGAAACCGTGGACAGTACCAAACCTTATATATAGTATATTTTTTCCTATACATATACACTTACGCTAAAGTTTAGTTTATAAATTATGCACAAGTAAGGGATTAACAACAATAACTAATACTAAAATAGAACAATTATAATAATATACTCTAATAAAAGTTACATGAACGTGGTCTCCCTCAAAATATCTTATTGTACCGTACTCACTCTTCTTGTGGTGATAGGAGATAATGCCCACATGGTGAGATGAAATGAGATGAATGACATAGGCATTGTGATGTAACATTAGTCTACTATTGACCTGCTGATACCTCAGAAAGAGGATCATTGAGTATGACGATGTTGATGGTTGGGTGTCAGAAGCAGAGGATTTTGATGGTTGGGGATCCAACAAAGGGATGATTCACATCCTGGGCGGGACAGAGTGGGACAACGTGAGATTTCATCACGATACTCAAAACAGTGTGCAATTTAAAACTTATGACTTTTGTATTTCTGGAATTTTCCGTTTAATATTTTTGGACTGCGGTTGGCCGGGGGTAACTGAAACCACAGAAACCGCAGATAAGGGGAAACTACCGTATTTCAAAA